CTATTGTAAATAGTGCTGCAATGAACATCATTCTGCCCATTTTTTAGTTGGATTGATAATCTTTTTGTTGTTGAGATGTTGGAGTTTTCCATAAATTTTAGAGATAAGTCCCTTGTCAGATATGTCATTGCCGAATATATTTTCCCAGTCTGTAAGTTCTCTTTTTACTCTTTTGCAGAAGTCTTTTGAAGCATATAAAAATTTAATTTTTAGAAGGTCCTTTTCATCTAGTTTATCTTCAGCTGTTTGTACATTTTGAGTTATGCTTGCCAGCCTATTTATGCCATAAATAAATTTGCCCCTATTTTTTCCTTGAGCAACTTTATAGTTTTAGGTTTGACATTTAAGTCTTTGATCTGTCTGGAGTTAGTTTTTGTGTATGGTGTGAGGTACAGATCTTGTTTCATTTTTCTGCAAATGGATATTCAATTTTGCCAGCATCATTTGTTAAAGAGACCACCTCTTGCCTGTTTAATGGATTTCAGCCCTCTGTCACAAATTAGCTGACCATAGATTGATGTATCTATTTCTAAGTTCTCAATTCTGTTCCACTGGTCTATGTGTCTGTCGTTGTACCCAGTACCAGGCTGTTTTGACTACTGTGGCTGTATAGTAGGTTTTGAGATCCAAGAGTGTGAGGCCTTCTACTTTGTTCCTCTTCTTCAATAGTGTTTTGGTTATTCAAGGTCTCTTTCCTTTCCATATAAAATTAGTGATTGTTTTTTCCATAATCTTAAAGAATGCTAATGGGATCTGGATTTGGATTGCATCGAATGTATAGATTGCTTTGGGTAGTATCAACATTTTCACAATGTTCAATCTTCCTATCCATGAGCATGGTATGTTCTTCCATTTGTGTACATCTCTTATGGTTTTTGAAGTAGGGATTTGTAGTTTTCTTTGCACAAGTCTTTTCTGTCCCTAGTGAGATTTATTCCTAAGTATTTTGTTTTTTTGTTAGCTATTGTAAATGGTATTGATTTCCTTATTTCCTTTTAAGCAATCTCTTTGCTGGTGTAGAGGAATCCAACTGATTTTTGTATGTTGATCTTGTATCCCGCCACTATGCTAAATCTCTCAATTAGTTCCAGTAGGTTTTTTTTTTTTCCCCTGAGGCTCTTGGGTTTTCTATGTATAGGATCATATCATCAGGAAATAGGGATAGTTTAACTTCTTCTTTACCAATTTAGGCCCCTTTGATTTCCCTTTCTTGCCTTATGACCCTGGCTAGGAGTTCCAACACAATGTTGAATATAAGTGGTGATAGAGGGCATCCTTGTCTGGTTTCTGTTTGCAAGGGGAATGGTTTTGGTCTCTCTCCATTGAGAATAATGTTGGCTGTTGGTTTTGCATAGATGTCCTTTATTATGTTGAGGAATGTCCCGTCTATTCCTATTTTGCTGAGAGTTTTTATCAGGAAAGGGTGTTGGATTTTATTAAATCCCTTTTCTGCATCAATTGATATAATCACGTGCATTTTAACCAGTTTTAAGTCTACAGTTCAGTGGCGTTAAGTACATACATAATGTTGTACAATTATCACTACTATTTATTTTTAGAATTTGTCATCATCCCAATAGAAACTCTGTACTCATTAAGCAGTAACTCCCCATTCCCTTCCCACTGCATTCCTCTGATTTTTAACATCACCTATAAGCCAATAAACAACAACCAGTAGCATAGTGGCTAAGGCACTTGACTGCTAACCAGAAGGCTGGCGGTTCAAACCTACCAGCCACTCCTTGGAAGGAAGGTTGGGCAATCTACTTCCGTAGTGATACTGCCTTGGAAACCCAAGGAGGGGTCATTATGAGTCGGGTCTGACTTGACAGCACATAACAACAACAACAACAACAACATAAGCCAATAAGGAGTCCTGATGGCATAATGATTAAGTATTCAGCTGCTAAATGACAGGTCAGCAGTTCAAATCCACCAGCCACTCCATGGGAGAAAGATGTGTCAGTCTACTTCTGTAAAGATTTACAGCCTTGGACACTTTGTGGGGCAGTTCTACCTAATATAGTCACTATGAGTTGGAATCAACTTGGTGCAATGGGTTTGTTTGTTTGTTTAGTAAGATGCTAGGAAATTAGGCCTGGTGGTCTGCTTCTGGAAGGTTACAGGCTTAAAAACCGTATAGAGCAGTTCTACTCTGCACACATGGAGTGGGCATGAGTCAGAATCAACTCAGTGACAACAACAATAACAGTAAGATGCTAAACACAGTACCTGGCATATAATAAGCTCTCAATAATGCTGATGTTGTATGTTGGTCCATAATTCTAGTATATGAGAAATACATCTCCATGTCTTTCTGTAACTCAACTTAGTTTGTATTTCAAGCTCCTATTCCACTGGGATGGTGGAAACAATGTAAGTAAGGTTGGTGGTTTCCTTTCCTTTTCCTCAGGGTGGAGTCCAAGTGGGACGAGGTATGTGATGCCAAGACTTGAGAGGGGGCCCATCTGGTTGTCGGTCATCTATTCACAAAGGTATTACCTGACATCTACTTTCTTCTCATCACCTGGCCCAGGGACCCTCATCCAAGCAGAAGAGGGAGGAGACTCCCCCAGATACTCCCTTTCTAGCCGGGACATGGAATTGCTGCACAGCCGTCTAAAGGCGTGTCTGCCTGGGAACTGTTTCTTATCAGGATCCTGTGCTCCTGGTAGGCCTTCCCAGGAAACAGAGAGCAGGACTCCTGTCACAGGAGCCACAAGCATCTAAACTCTACTTCCCCCAGCTGGTAGTGGGCAAAGGGGAAGTCCTCTGGTTTCCAAGGAAATAACCACTCTTCAAACCTCACTTCTTCTGAACACTGAACAGTTTTATCTCAGCCTTGAGTCTTCTCTGTTACTCTGAAAGCTAGGTTGCCTAGTTGCTTGAATGGGATACGAGGGGAAAAGCAAAGGGAGAAATACCAGAATGGGAAAGCCCATGAGGTAATATTCCAAAAAATATTGTTCAGCATTGTCGTTGTCATTGTTATTTTATTTTTATTAGTTCAGGCCCTTATTATCTCTCACCTGTGCTACTGCAATAGTCTCTCAAGCTCTATCCCTAGCCTTACTGTCCATCAAATCCCTGTTGCAAAAGGGATCTTTCTAAACTATAAATCTGTCTTATGTCTAAAGTAAGGAGCTCTGATGGTGCTGATCTGCAGAAGGAAGATGGAGCAATCAACTTTTGTAAAGATTTACCACCTGGGTTACTATGAGTACCCCACCTAGGTCACTATGAGTCGGAATCAACTCAATGGCAGTGGGACTCCATGGCACATAACAACGACAACAATGCCTAAAGTGTTCTTTGGTTCTTGACTGCTTCCCAGACCACATCCCAGCATCTTAGTGTGGTAGCCAAGACCTTGCAGGATCTGGCCTTGTGCCTCTCCAGGCTTACTTCCTGCCTCTCCCAGGTTGAACTTTATTCTCCAACAAAACTAAACCAATTTTGATTCCTTGCTCTTGCACATGCTGCTTCCACAGACCAGAATGCCTCTTTCTTTAAATTTGATGAATTCTCATTCATTTTTCAACCAGATCAGCTGTCAGCTCTGCTAGGAAGTCTTCCTGATCCATCACTGCTCTTAATGATTAAAATTTCTCCCTCTCTCTGAGCACCAAGAAACTGTGGTGCTCCAGTGGTTATTGGATTGGCTGCTAAACAAAAAGTTGGTGGTTTGAAGCCCCCAGTGGCAGGAGAAAGATGAGGCATTCTACTTCCGTAAAGATTTATAGTCTTGGAAACCCTATGGGGCAGCTCTACTCTGTCCTACAGGGTCGCTATGAGTCAGAGTCAGCTCAATGGCAGTGGGTCTGGTTTTTGGTTTGGTCTGTGCACCACTGACTTCTAATTTATTTGACTACATGTCTAGCACTCATTCAAGAACAAAAGTTTAATTAGAGCGTTAACTACGCTTACTTATCTCTGGACCTGCACCACCTAGGTTACTGCATTGCACCAAGTAGGCTCTGAACTTTTAAGAGACCCAGGGATATTACAGGGAGCTGTTGTCAGTTATATGCCCTGGAGTCAGACCTGACTCATAGAGACCCCTCCTTGGGTTTCTGAGGCAGTATCACTACTGAAGTAGATTGCCCAACCTTCCTTCCGAGGAGTGGCTGGTGGGTTTGAACCGCCAGCCTTCTGGTTAGCAGTCATGTGCCTTAGGCACTACACTACCAGAGCTGAGCAAAGGCTGATTAGGACTACTGTGCAGAAAAGGCAGGAAGAGTGACAAGAGAACGGGACAGGGCAGGGTCAAAGGTTGTTTGAAATAAACAACGGTTTATTTAGTAAATAAACTTCGGTTTAGCAGCGAAGGAACCAAAAAGATTCAACCATCAGCAATTCATGGAACTGCCGGAAGGGAAGCTGGGCCCCCAGGTGTTGTCATTCTCCTCCCTACCTGGGCGGCATAGCTACGGCGGCTGGAACTACAAATCCCAGAGGCTCCTGCGGCGCGGACCGGAAATGTCCTTCCAGACTGTGGCAACAGTAAGGGGCGGTGGCCGCAGAGGCGGGAGATTCAAACCTGGAAGGAGGAACATGGAGGGGAGAGGCGCGGGCCCCAGCCGGGCGGCCTGTGAGTGCTGGAAGGGGCCGAGGAGGGTCCAGCAGCGTTGCCGCTGGTCCAGGACTCAGCCTTCCCGGGAGAGGTTGGGGAGGGGGTGAGCGCCGGACCTGCCGGTGGCGGGGCGGTGGGACTGTGCTCAAGGGGAGGGAGGGCTCAGTTCAGGCGCCAGCAGACTGGGGTAAGGCTGTGAGCAGTAAAATGTTCCCTAACTTTTGTGCCGCGCTTCAAAGCGTTCTAAGAGCTTGCTCCTTTACTCCCATATTCTGAGGCTTGAGCTGGGAGTATGTGGATGGTCTAATGGCTCCTTAAAATTCAGCAGTTAACTGTTGGCTCCGAACACGCCAAATGCTACCAGAGGACAGAACTCCTAAAGGCGCCTGGGGGACTCCTGAGCTTTGAGATAAGGCTTTGAGACAATGGCTCTCAAACTTTAGGGGGCAGGATCACTTGGGAAACTTGTTTGAAATGCAGATCCCTGAGTCCAATTCCAGAGCTTCAGTTTAGGTGGGTCGGGATTGGAGTACATACCCTGCATGTATATAGCAAGCGCTGTTGTGCTTGCCTCACCTCAGGTGGTTCTGATGAAGGTAATCTATGGACTACACTTTCAGCAACAGTGCTTTAGAAGAAGAGAAACTGGAGTTGGAAGGATTGGAGGACAGAAATCTTTCTATCTGACCTGAATGAAAGGCAAACCCTACTCCAATCCCTCTTTCCTCTCCAACAGGATTCTAAAGCAAGGTTCACCAAATCTGTTGAAGGAAAGCTAGTTCCAGACCTGAGAAGGGCAGAAAGACTTTTTTTTTTTTTTTTTTTGGTGTTTTTTTTTTTTTTTTTTTTTAGGTGAAATGTATGTGTGCACAGTCCCATCTGTTGCACGGTCCTCAATTCATAACTCTGAGGTGATGTAACTCGCCTACTGGTTTATTTTCCATGGTTATGCAACCAAGCCTTGTTCCTTGTACACCCCCTAGAAGGAACAGAAGGATTCCTGTGGTTGGCCAGTACTTTCAAATCTGAATGTGGAGATGTGTATTATTATTATTATTTAATCTTGTTTAACTGCCAATTCAAATAAGCCCTGCCTCTCCTACAAATCAGATTGCAGGCAAGAAGGAAATAGGGTAAAGAGTGGGAATGACATTAAGTGCTGAATCAAAGACAGATTGACCACACTATTTTTCTTTTCTAGCCCTCTGAGTTTATTGTTTTGGGATATGTGTGTGTAGCTTTCTCTTACTGTGTCTTTTAGCTTTGTAATGTATTTTCCAAGTAAAATAGAAGAGAAGGAGGAAGCATGAAGGAGGCTGTAGCTAATGCAGAGAGTATGAGTGCTGCCTCATTTAAGGATTTGCTGTTCTTGGGTTTGGGGATCAAAGTATTGTCTACATTTTGTTTAGCTTGGAGGTTTCTTCTTCAGGTGACCTATACTAAAAAGGATAAAGATACCTTAATGATCTTTTTTTTCAATTCTTACTGTGATTTGGTTGAAAGTTATTACAGAGTATGTTCCATACAGCAGTTCATACAGATTTTGTTTCATGACATTGACTGCAATTCCCCACAATGTAACAGCTATCTTCCCGCTTCCTCCCTGTAGTTACCTCTTCCTGTGTCCTTCTTTCCTATGCATTCCTGCCCCCTGAGCTATCACCCTCTGCAAATACTGCCTTTCTGTTCTCCCATGATTGATTGTTCTAACGAGTGGATCTGCCTGATGTAAATGTTCATCCTATATGCCTGTTTATTGTTTGGTTGGAAGCCACAGAAGTGAGTTCAATTCCAGAATGATAACTAGGGGCCATGGTCTCGAGGGTCTCACCAGGCTCTATTAGACTGTAATCCTGGTCTTTTTTTTTTTTTATGATTTTGAGTTTTGCTCCACATTATTCTCTTAATGATATTTTAAAATTCTCTGTGCCTGTCCACTGGTCCCCTGCTCTGGTAGCATAGTGCTTAAGACACTTGACTGCTAACCAGAAGGCTGGCGGTTCAA